AAGTAACTGCCCTATTTCGTTTCTTTATACCCGCTACGTGGATTTCCGGAGACTCCCTAAGAGCTAATCGGTGATGTATCTCGCTATTTCTTGCGGAACAGAACAGCCCTGAGTTATATGATGTCGCGCGACGATTGTTTCATAGATAAAGTCCCGCTCCTTTCGTTAGGGCGCAGCCAGTTATCTGTAACTTGGTCGAGGGTTCCAAGTGGTCCTTTTAATTCTTAACGAGGTAAATGGCGGATGCTCGATTTCGACTGCAAGGAACTGCAGGTTCGGTTCGAGCGAAATTTACGAGTGTAACCGGGGTGTATTCGCGATGCATCATCGACGACAGAGTTGCATTCAATCTTCCCAGATAGAGCATCGGTCGTAATTCAAGCTGTTGCGGCGTTCCATCATTTTATATCCAATGCATAAATTTTTGAAGACTTCGGCAAGGTACAATCCGTGGATCGAGGAAAAAAGAAATATGCCAGTTTTAAGAGAAATCGGAAGTTGAACATCGAACGACTGCCGTTCTGTGAGAAATATTCGGAGGAGGAGCTGAAGAGGATTCTCATACTAACAAGGGAACATCCCGGAAGTGGTAAACACCGATTTTGACAGAACTTCGATATATTCGATACAAATTTTTTTATTTCGGTAATGGTACACAGTGAAGGGGTGAAAATCGTCCTCAAACTTGGAGGAAGTAAATATATTTAGTCTAATATCTGGAAAACTATTAGAGATAGAGGAATACTGTAAATTGACGAATTTTGTATTTTTCGACGACAAATTCAAAAAATAAAAAATAATAAATAATTTCGTCCAAATATGTATATTACCCTCATTTTTAAGGGCGATTTTCATCCCTTCGATATGAACGATTGCCGATAAAAAATAATACGCGTTAAATATTCTATGTCTTTAAATACTGCCGTATACCAAAGTTTCGTCAATATCGATGATTATCACTTCGGGACGTTCCCTGGTAAGATTATCGCGTCAGCGATATTTCTAAACTTGATATGTGCCTTCTCACGGAGTAGAATGCGGAAGAATGGTGGGAAATTCCGCGATAAATATTTTTCCGCGCAATCTGCCGCATTTCCGGCATTTCCTGTCCTTATTCATCGAGTAGGAGAATGTGGAAAGATAAAGAGGATAGAGGGAGGGAAATAATTGTGTCGATAACGGAGCTAGATACGAATTACGAGCTCTTGGACGCGGCTATTTAAATTATAGCTGCCACTTAATCCGCTCGCTACATAACCAGAAGCTCCGAACGACTCGACAACTTCGTAGAGGCCGCGTGCCAGGAACTCGTAATTGTTTTGAATTAACGATACTTTAAGCCACGGACCAAGCTTCGTTGCCCGCTGCCGTTTCTACACGCCTGTTCAGAGCTTCCATGCTCACCAACTACCAGGTTCATGCCAGCGATATCTCCTTTCTTCGACAGCTTCACCGCATATTCAATTTTCCCCGATCGTCCATCTTTATCCACAATAGTCGAGGAGAAGATATGTATATACCTACTGTAGTACACGCGCATCGAATAGTAAAAAAAGTTCGTGATACAGTGGAATCCGCTTATCACTTCGGGACTTGCGATTTTTGATAAGAATATCCGGCTGATAACATTAAACGGAGAATTAAAAAATTTTCATCGATCAACTGAAATTATTACATACAATTACCACGTTTGTACAATTTATATTTTACATTTAGGCTACATTTCTCGTAAACAACTGTTTCTGAAAGCAACGTAAAGTTTATTTGAAAAACTTACCAAACGCTGTCTCTCGTGTTTACTTATTTTCTATGAATTCTTGTCAGGCACTCGTGTAAAAGATAGAAAGTATGATTCGATTGAAAGAAAGTTTCGAAGAGGAGGCCCATTTAGCACGAATTTGCTGAACAATTTTTATCGTTTGTTTCCAAGTATAATTATCACTATTGATACCAATAGACGAAGTTTGATTATAATAGATAGATTATTTTTAACTAATTTAACATAGAGTGCTTCGGGACCAATTGATTATGACAACAGTAGCCGATTGATAACATTATCCGTGGTTATAATAACCGGATCACACTGTACAATTGTTTCGACATTATTATTATCCGACGCGACGAATAATCGGGATATTCGTGTAATTTTTTCATACAAGTTTAAACTTGGAAAAATTGCGATAAAAGCTGCTGAAATATGTAAATGTAGTATTTGAAGAAAATTATGTAAATGTTAGGACGCTAGAACGTTCGTGCGCAAAATTCAAGATTGGCGATTCTTGATTGGAGATGAGCCAAGAGGAAGGTCAGAAAGGGCCGTCGAGGATAAAGTTTTAAGAAAAATTATTGAAAACAGTCCACGGTAAAAAAATACGAATCCTCCCCTATTCGCTAGACCAATTTTTTAACAAATAAATTATTCTGAAATAAACAGAATTTTTCCATTCAAAATCCGATGATTTTTGTAAATTCGGAATAGCGAAAAATCGTTGGGAAAAGAAATTTTTATCGTTTAAATAAAGCTATTATAGATCGAAAGTTTCATTTGAAAAGAAGCACATTTCATATGCGCCGACCTTATTAAAATAATACGTTACCATGTAGAGATGCTTATTGTCAAACCGATACCGTACTCTGTTTTTCATGCGGACACGTGTGCATTTTCCAGCAAGCAGGGAAATGAGAGAAAAGCAGAACGGCGAAAAAAGGAGAGCGGAAAAATCGTGACCAAACACCAAAGTCGAGTATCGATTATTCCATAGCAAGATGCTTGCTTGCTGGACGCGAGCGTATGCGCGCGCGAGCCGCTCGCCAGGCGTCCATTAAAAAAAACTCAAATCTGACCCGACTTTTGCAAGCCCGACGCCCGATGTGTGCCTCGCCTATTGAAAACAGTTTACCCTCCGATGAACTCGTGATACAACGTGACGGAATTTTTATCTATCAAAGTTCCAAACAGAAGGGCCACTGTGTGTTGGCCCTGCGTTATCAGCGGAGAGAGAGGAAAAATATACACGCGAGTGTGGGTAGAAAAATAAAAAAAGGAGAGAAATACTCTATCTGGTCCACTGTGAAATGATTTTTTTATTAATCGACGACCGGGCTGGAAAATAAATCGGGAAGGGAGGAATGGGGCGACACGATTTCGAAAACGCCGCGACATGTCCACGGCGTTATCGATATTACATTTATCAGAATGCTTGTGCATCGAAAGCAGCCCTACTTTTTCTCTATTTTTCCTTCTTTTTTTTTTTTCAATTCACGCCCGTATTCTCTCGCTACGATATTTTCATTCTCGGTGAATTGGGAAGGATAGAGGGACACTATACCTGTCGCTGCTTTCAATCGTATTAATTTAAGAGACGAGACGGTCTGAGATTCGTATCTCTTTGTGATGAATTGGAACAGAAGAGAAAAGGAGGAGAGATGTGCTTACAAATTATTCGCACCGTGGGATTTCCGTCGAAACGTGGATATATTTATTCTACTGGAAAAATATCTTTTCGTGACGAATTGGGGGAAATAAAGGGAGAGAGAGAAAATTATTCAAGTGCTGGATATTTTTTCGAAATTTCGTCGAGACAGGCGTAAGTCTTTTCCATCGCTGAAAAAATACGCGATGCAGATGGTATAGTATGTATGTATATGGTAACGCGTTGACGTGTCAGGATAAGAGACGAATAGAACGAGAACGATATCTCCCACCGTCGATATTTCATCCTTCCGCTTTTAATGGCGCTTCGATTAAACGTTTTCGGGAATCCCGGGAGCGAGCAGCTCGCGCACTATTTTCCAAACACGCGGATTCTTGGCTGTACAGAATTTATAGATGTGATTCTCCCCTATCGAACGTGTGCCTAGGAATGTTTAAGACGTGAAATGGAACAGCCGTTTTATTCCACGCGAATCGTGGCACAACTCCGTTTCTTATGGCCCGTTAAACTGCAAACGATCGTTTCCAGAGCTATTATTTATCAATTAAAATAGAATTGAAATCACTGTTTACACGACGTCAATTTAACCCTCTATAATACCATTTGTCTATATTTTATAGTTTCTCGTTTTATTTATTTATCGTTACACTATTGTCACTGTATTATTACCAGCCGATTTTTGTATAACTAATTTTTATATTTATTCTTGCTTCCCTCGTCGAAATGTAAAATTCTAAGCAACCGTAATTTTTCTTCTCGAAGAACGAAGAAAAATCGGGTTAACCCTTTGCGATCGGTGCCGCCATAGTGGCGGCATTTCAATTTTGTTCTAGAAATCGGTGTCGCCGCTATGGCGGCATGATCTTTGTTTTGTCAAGTATCATACTTTGGAAAATTACAAAAATTAAAACGTTTTATTTTTATGCACTATAACTAGTATGTATTAAACAAAATGTATCAGTTTCAAAATATTCTGTTTTTCAATATCCTTATATATATAATAAATCAACTATGCAAAAATAACTTTAAAAATCTAAATTCGCTCCGAGTAGCTGATAGTCCCAACCAGAGAAATGTGCCGATCGCAAAAGGTTAAACCTCCTATTTATCAAGCCATCTCTTAAAATTATGCATAATTTAGATAATAACGGTAAACATATTTTCCTAAATTTACACGAAAGATTGAATTAAATTTAAACGTTGACGTATATGAATAAAAAATTCTTAGAATGAATACAAAGAAACATTTCTAATGTTAGCAGCACCTAGAAACGCGAATAAAAGACATCGATGAGCCGCCGACGCAAACATTCGAAGATCGCCGCGAACGATCTTCAATTCCCTCAAAAATACCTCGATCTCCCTCGGTCAGACAATAAAATCCCATATCGAACCGACGTTGAGCATTCTTTCCAATTATTCCCACGATTGGACGCGTCAATCCAACCGGGCGAACCCCGGAATTTCCGCGGTTACGTAATCGCGAGAAAAGAGGGGGCAGAGGAAGAAGAAGAAGAAAAAACAGAAGGGTGGAAAGAGGGAATCCAGAGAGGAGAGAGGACTTACCTCGTTCAAATCGATCTCGTCTTGGGCATTCAGGGCCGGACACTTGAAGATCGAATAGTCCGTGTCTACGGAGTTGTCCGCCCGTGTGACACCGGCCAGAATCAGCACCACTAAGTACCACTTCATTGTCCACGGAAACTGGACCCTTTCTATTCTGGAATTCTTCCAAACTCCCGGTATCTCGTACGGGCTCCTCTTCCGGTCACGCGCGCACCAAATCAATCTAGAAGCCTCCTCCTAGGCTGACACCGGGCATCGATGCCTCGATCGTGATCTTCGACCTTGCTCACACCCCCAGTCTTTGACCCAGTTCTTCCTCTTTCCAACCGAGAAACTCTCGCGACACTTAGTTCGTACTTCGAACGGAGCAAATTTTGGGAAAAAATTTGTGAGAAAAAGTTCCCGAGCGATCGAGGAGGGAGAGACTTTTTTTTTTGATTTCCTCTTTAGAACGAGTCAAGGTGGCCGGCGACAGTTAGGACAAATCGAGGCAGCATCAGAAGCCGCGTCTCTCTCCACGACTAATATTTTCCAAGCGAGTCACGCGACTCCCCCTTATTCCTTCTCTCTCTGGAACGCTTTAATTGAATGCCTCGCTCATCCCCGCGCTAGCTTGGCTGGCTGGCTTGGCTGGCCGGCTGGGTCTGTGATCGATGGTTCAACGCATCGTTTCTCTCGATCGTCCAGTGTTTTCTGGCCTAAACTGCTTCTGGATCGTGTACGCGCATGTATCGGGAATTGTCCACGTGAAGTCAGGCGGTGTTGATTCTTCGGCGTTTCTTATGGTAGAAACTTTCGTCGAGTAGGCATCGTAAGCTGTGCTCGATACGAAAGAACCAATCGATACGGGACCCTCGACGATGAACGATGTGTATCTGTGTCACTTTCAATCTTACGATCAACGATCAGTTTGAAAAGTTTATTAATGATAATTTAAAGATAGTTCGATTATTCGATCTATCTTGTTTTCAGTATTCAGAATGATCTACAGAGATCGAGAATTGAAATAGCAAGTACCACCAACCAGAACACTTGAATCACTGACGGAACTGTTTCATTGAATCTTTATGGATCACTGAGTTGATCACACTTGAAAAGTTTCCGATCGATGCACTTCTCTCGAGCCACTTGAGACGATCTACGGGTCCACACGGGATCCAGAGTAGACAGGCAGGGATGTGCACGCGACGCAGTCGTAGGGCACTCTGACGTTCCCAGTCTGCTTGCTGGTCCTCGCCATGTCCGTCCGTCCGATCGTCGCGACGCCTCCTACAATATTGGGGAGGGGGGAAGCGGGGGAGTAAGAATGGACCGTACGCGCGCGACCGGGATCGAGGATTATTGGCGGGATTGAGGGACGACGGATGATTCTTTTTTTTTTTTTTTTCAAGATTCTGGAAATCAAGTTACTAGGTTGGTACAAATGAAACTTTAGATACATTGTGTTTCTTCAGAACCAACGAAATCAACGCGATTTGAAAATTTCGTGATCCAAAAATTCCATCTTTAATACAAAATGACGCTTGATAATATGTAATATACCGAATAGAAGAAAATTGAATTCTTGAAAGTATGGATAACATTAATCTTTTTTCTATACACAAAAAGGTATTATTTAAGAAATTATGATGACTTTGTGAGACAGTTAATCTTGGTGAAATTAAAATAATTGAATTTAACAGTGGAATGTTGTAAGGATTGAATTGTCATTAACACTAGGTTTACGGTTTACGGTCATTTTGACGCATTTACTAGGAAATTTACAGAAACCGTTTACATTTCTCTCCTACCACTTACGCATATTATAAATTTTATAGAAATATATAATATCACATAATTTCATTTATAAGTTAATTTTTAAGTTGCTTTTTAAAGAAAATTTGCGGTTTTGTTCACGCATAAATTAGACGCGTATCCGCAGAGATAGGTATGTACAGTGACTCTTACTAATATTCGGACACTCTTTAGAACAGTATAACTTTTTCTAAATTGGATCAAACGACTTGAGTTTTTTTTTGAGAAGTTAGAAGGATTAGTATACTAGATGACGTGGGTAAAATTTTTTGAAAATATTGCAATTTGTGGGAATCACGAAGAAAATTGTAAAGGTCACTGTTTACAACTTTTTTACCCGAGCTTGTAACGAAAATTTAAAACATACGTTTTGTAGATTTATGTCAATTATACACATGCTGAAAATTTCATCGAAATCGGTGGATGGAGAAACAAGCGACAGGCATCGAAAGATGTAGGAATCTTCAGATTTATTACAATTATAGGCGAAACGTCGTGAAATAGTGCGATTTTCACAATCTTTAATATGGAGAAACAAGCAACAGGCATCGAAAGATGTAGGAATCTTCAGATTTATTACAATTATAGGCTGAAAGTCGTGAAATAGTGCGATTTTCACAATCTTTAACGATTCTAGTAACGTTAACCGATTTCGATAAAATTTTCAGCATGCGTATAATTGGCATAAATCTACAAAATGTATTTTTTAAATTTTCATTACGTGCTCAGATAAAAAAGTTGTCGAATGTGACCTTTACAATTTTCTTCGCAATTTCCACAAATTGCAATTTTTTCAAAAAATTTTATACGCGTCATCTAGTATACTAATCCTTCTAACTTCTCAAAAAAAAACTCAAGTCGTTAAGTCCAATTTTGAAACAGTTATACTGTTCTAAATAGTGTCCGAATATTAGTAATAGTCACCGTATATAAGAAATGTCCGTAAACCTAGTGTTAAATACCTACATTTCAAATGATCAAGGTTCGTTATTCGAAATATATGGAAATCGTTAGTCTTTGAATTTGAAGAAAGTCGAGTGAATAGGGGAGGACGTGGAAAAATTTGATATTCTTCACCGAGGATTATTCGTTTCCAACTCTGATTTAACGATTGAGAAACCAAGGGCCCGTATATGGGACTACTTAGGCAATGAGAAACTCGACTTTTTATTCAATACATAACAGAAGTTCGAAACTTTTGGCATAAAATTTCGAGTAGCGTGTTACTGGTTTTTCAAATTCCCGCCTAATCGAAACTAGAAACTTTTCAAGTTAGTTAATTTGCAAGTCTGAGTAAACTAAGAAGGTTGAATGTTAAGAAAAGTTTCGAGCATCTAAAATAATATATAAATTGCCTTGAAAAATGGCTCGATCGTTCCCCTTTATCGTGCGCCTTCGTTTGTTGAAAAAGAAGAAGAGAAAGTAGAAGAGAAACAAAAGGAGGTTCTTCTTCCCGCACAATATAGCGGATTACGGAAGGGATCGAAGGCGAAGGAAATATGGGAAAACGATTGTCGCGTTGAATGAGCATTCAATTTCGTCACAGTGGACCAGAGCGAATTGTCAGACTTAAACGATAGCACACGTCGAGGAATATCTCTGTCTTTTTGCAACTCTCGTCAACCTTTATACGATCAATGTGAGTCCAATCGACTCACACGCTTGGTGTTTTCAAAATATTTTCAACAGTATACTTGAGAATTTTAAAATTCCTTCTATGAATTCTTCTGTTTTATCAACTGAATTACAGTCCTGTAGGTAAAAAATACTGAAGATTTTTGGGAAGCAACGAAAAGATATTTAAATAATTTTATTACTATTTTATTTAAGCAATTTTACTCTCCTGTTTACTTAACATTCGATCGAAGCCGCTGATTAATGAAATTCGATTGAAAGCTAATATGCAATGTTAAATGCAAAATTTACCGAATTTTATTTAACGTACTTTAAATATTACCGTAATTACCCTATTTAAATACCTTGATAAACGTTAATTGATAAAATTCCATCGTGAAATTTACAGACATCCTGAGGCGTCCAGAAATAGCTAAAGTTCGGGAATTTTTTTCATAGGTAACTGCTAAATGAAAAGTTTCTCCAATTTTTAAAAACTAAAAATGTTAGAAAACGCAGAAGTTATTGCGAAACTTCTTCTGCTAAAGCATCTTCCGCAAGGATCGGAAGGTCGGAATTAAAAATTCTTGTTGATTTACAAATGAAAATGTATTACCTACAATGCAACCTCATTTTTTTCTTTTGTTTTTACTCTTCAAACTGCCACAATTTTTGTAACAATTGCAAGTTTTGAAAAATCTTAAGCAACATTGTAGACGATACATTTTTATTTACAAATTGAGAAGAATTCTTTTATTTCAAACGTTCCAATTTTTGCTGGCGATGGCGGACAGCAATTTTCGTTCCAGCAGAAGTGATTTCACAATAACTCCTCCATTTTGTCACATTTTTACATTGTAAAAATTGGAGAAAAAAGCTGAAAGCTGCGTTTATATCCCCTGAAAAAAATTGAAACTTTTCATTCAGTAGTTACCTGTGAAAAAAATTCCCAACTTCGTTTCTTTTAAACGCGTCACGGCGGTATACACCGTTAAAGGACAAAAAAAAAAATTGCCAAGGAAGTGTTTTAAACAGGAAAAATTTTCGCTCGAATGGTATCCTAATTCCTTCGTCGACACTTTCATCCATTGTCCGTGCAAAAGCACCGCACAACCGTTGAATCACACGCGGAAGATAAACAGGCCGCGAAGAATGCGGAGAGGCAAAGAGGCAACGGAAGGGAAAACGAGTGCCAGAGGCTGGTCGCCAGGCTGAATAGAGGAGGGAGACAAAGAAAACGTTGCTTGTGTAACGCGTCGAGCACATAAAAACTTAATTCGTTCATTCAATCTGCCTGATGATTCGGCCTACGGGCTGATAAACCTCGGTTGACGCACTCCGCGGACATTTTATCGACGGCGAATTCCGTGGAGAGAGAGATACAGCTGCGACAGGGGCGAAAATAAAAAAGAAGAGAATTGACAGAATGATTAATCGGTTCGGACGAGAATTAAAAGCGACCTCATTTAATAGCCCTGCTTTCTCGAAAAAAAATACCCGTCGAATCTTCTTTACTTGAAAAGCGCGGATAAATCGATTATAGAAGTTCTGAAAGAATTTCTCTGGAATTGAAAAAAAAGTAGGAACATTCTGATCTCGAAAATATATTGGGTCTGTGCAAAATTCGGTGGGGTCAAAAAGCCAACAATGCTACAGCTAATTTAATATACTGAATGTAGTATTAATATTACGTTATCACTATTTTGATGACGACTAAT